ACCGTATATGGAGTCAAGCTTCGCAGGGGATCATGGAGATCAAAGCCGATCAAGCTGAAAGGCTCCATGCTGCACCAACCACCATACAGGCAGCAAGTATTACGGTGGAGGTTAGGGGGGGTTAGGGGGGCTCAGCCAACGCGAACGTCGTGGGACGGCGACCGGGGAAGAGGAACAAAGAGTACAGGCTTCAGGGGTCACGGAGGGTCAAGGAGCCCACTTCCGCAAACAGCAGCAGCCCCTTAAAGAAGCGACAGGCCGAGCGAGCGGCAGTCAGTCGGCCCTCAGCACCGTCGGTCCGCTCTGTTAATGTGAAGATGCAAAGCAGAGATGGAGGGCGGGGCTCCAACACTCAACGACCAATAAGAACACAGCACACTGAGCACAGCATGAGATCCTATGAAAGGCCAAGACTAAGACGACACAGAAGCAAGGCGGACCCGGTTTGGAAAGATGACAGAAGTAGAGACACGCGACGTGCCAAAAAAGACAGTTAATATAACAAAAAAAACCTCATGTTTCTGTCCAGGCTACCAGGGACAGGGGCACTAATCAGCCTCACCGTACGGTCACTAAAGAGGCGTCGCTGCCAGTGGTTTGAGAAGAGCGTCAGGCAACTGAAGCACGACGAAGACACACACACACACACACACACACACACAGGGTTCCTCCACCTCAAGCAAGACAGGGCAGGGAGAGGCTGTTCTCTCCGTTCCCACATTTCAGCCATCAGGCTCAGGCTCACAGACACGGTGGTGGTGGTGGTGGGGGGGGATCGTGACCTCCCCCCCCGTCACCTTCCAGAAATGTCCCTGTGATGGTCACCGGGAAACCATCTCCTCTCTAAACAGTGGCTAAGGAGGGAGTGTGTGGGAGCGGCCCCCCCAGTCCGGGCACCTTGGCCTCCACCATGAAATATAGTGGTTCTCCGCACTCCAAAGTCAGGAGCCTGGTTCCGACATACAGGTCGGGGGCAGGAAGCCCCCCAGGGGCGTACCCAAGTCAGCTCCCTTTGCCGTCACCCCAGTGCGTTCTTACTCCACGGTCTGGCCTCTTCTGTACTGGGTCATCGATGGGGGGGTAACACATGGGGGGGCAGGGCAGGATGGGGGGGGGGAGCCGGTGGAGTTGGAGGGGAGGTGGGTGTTCAGGCATGGTCCTCGATGGGGAACACCAGGCGTGTCCCTCGGGTGATCAGCTCCTGCTCCCGGGCCTCCAGCTCCCGCTCCATGGCCGCTGCCTCGGCTGTGGCTCCGCTCTGCTTGCCATTGACTTCACCCCATTCGGCGGAGCTGCCGCCGGCATGACCTCCTGATGCCCCATTGGCCGTGATAGCCGTGTCCCCATAGGTGAGCGTCAGGTCACCGTCATTCAGGATGAGGTCCGAATCCGTGTCCCTCAGCTGCTCGTGATTCTGTGAACACGGAGGTGGCAGGGACGTCACCAAGGGGGCCGCTAGACACAGACAAAGCACTCGCACGCACACAGTTCCTCCCCTTTTCTTTTTAATAAGAGCCACAGGGTGTATTGAGAATGTCTTGTATCCATGTACAAGTTACACCAGAGGATTATGGGACTGGGACGATCTTTACTCCTCTACAGTTAAACTTTAACCCCTTCTGAACTCTGATGGCTCTTCGTTAAATGCAATTTGAACAAAACTACTAGGACGCGACACACAACTTCCCCAGGACAGGATTCTGAGCTAGTGTGTAAACACCCCGATGGGGCCGTGTTACGGACGCTTGGAAACAGGACCGCAAGCATGGTGCTGCCCACAGAGATCAGGAAGGGTCACCTTCTGGGCATCCATTTGTAACTCTGCTGTACTAATGTTTCTAATGTGTTGGCTAATAGTCCTGGGGGAGAAGGGCAGGCAGACGGACCAGCCAGGGCAGCAGAGATTACACACAGGGAGCTAAACTTCAAAACAAACTGACTGGGAAGGACCAGGTGTGGAAGCAGGCTTGTGGGACAGTTTAATGCCCACGCATGGGAACTGGAAAGGCAAAACTGAGTGACTATGCAGAGGCAGACAGAGGAAAAGGGGCTTCAAAGTTTTTTTCAAAACCAAGTATAGCTGAAATAAATGCTCCATATCAAGAAAACAGATTAGAGTGAGCCAAGTTTGGTCATAACATGATTTTGATAAAATATGCACGTGTTTCACCTTCGTGTGGCATTGTGCTCGACTCAACCTTGGCAGAATTTACTAAAATTATATAATAAAATACCCCCCATCTGTGTGATGCTCGTCTTCACAGCGGAGTGACCCATGATCGGAAAATTATTGGATGGAGAGCAGAACCAGAAAACAGTGTACGCATTTCTTTCATTTTCTTCGTAATCTGTTTAACTTGGAAAAATAAAATCCCATTTAGCACCGACACACTATGCCAGAGAGAGCAGGTACGTTAATATTAATGGACTTAAATGGACGTCGCTATAAAAATCACCGGATATTTCGTCCTTCTCAGAATTTTATTTTATTTTCATGGTCTGAACAATGCTGTGATGACATGGTTCTCAGTTTTTGGTTTCACAAGAGACCAAAGGCTATTTTAAAATGAGTTACGTAAGCCCTCCTCAGACTTACTGTCTGATGAATCCCAGGCCTGGGGAGGGGGGAGGGCAATACTGTGTCATCCTGTGGGGGAGGAGTGCAGGAGCGACGTGTGCCATGCTCTTCTTGACTTATTCAACAAAACAGACGGGGGGTGACGTGGTGGCCAGAGTCACCAAGAGAATGGTGGCCCTTGAACTGAGAACCTGCACTCATCTTCACGACAAAACACAGCACTGCCGGACGACAGAGAGTAAACACTGGATGACTTCATCTGAGACAAAGCCCTACAGTGACTTTCCACTTGTGCCTTAAGGTTCAGCAGATTAAATATCCCAACAGGCGTCTGAAATTAGCAGATGACATCCAGCACTTAATTCAATAACGGCAGAGATAAAAGTCACCAAAAAACGGCTAAAATGCGCTCAGATCAAATTTGTCAGTCATAGGGATGAATCTCAGAGCGGTACGAGATCCATCGATGGCTAAGCGAAGAGTCGACTTTAAAAAGGGGAACTGGACTTTTGCTTAATCCTCACATGTTATGGACTCCATACTGCATGGTATTAAGTTCACAAAGACTTTGGGCACCTATGAAAAACAGGGGACTTTAAATTCCTTGTGGAAAGACTGAGTGTCATGAGTGTCTTTAAGCGTCAAGTCATCTGTTCCTCACACCAACACACATACATACACACACACTAAAACATACATATTTCTGACTTCCCCTGTGAGGCTGAAAGATAACAACCCGATTACCAAAAGCAAACTGAAATGAACAGTAACACTTATCTGGACCACAAGCCTTAATCCTGGTGTAGTGGGCTCGTGTGTGTCATTGTGTGTGGGCACGTATATATTTACAATGTGGGGACAAAATGTCCCCACAATGTGATAAAAACTTGTTATTTTGACCTTGTGGGGACATTTTTCCATTTCCCAGAATGGAAAAGAAATCAAAGAACTAAAAGTCATGTTTTTTTGGTTACTTATGGTTAAGGTTAGGGTTGGGTAGGGATTAAGGTTGTCAGTGTTGGGATTAGGGTTTTGCCCATAGAAATGAATGTACAGTCCCTTTAAAGACGCATATGCCTAATCTGTGATTGAGTGAGTGAGTGTGTGTGTGCGTAGGTAGGTGTGTGTGTGCGGGTGTGTGTGTGTGCGTAGGTAGGTGTGTGTGTGCGGGTG